CACCTTCAGCCCAGGGTATGGTCCTGGAGACCCGGGATCGAGTCCCACGTCAGGCTCCCTGCATGGAATGGAGCCTGCTTCTCCCTCTGCCTGTGTCTGTGCCTCTCTCTCTGTATGTGTCTCTCATGAATAAATAAAATCCTTAAAAAAATTTTTGTGAATGAATTAATGAAATAAAATGTAAAATACAGTTCTTCAGGCACACTAGCTATATTTCAAGTGTTCAAAAGCCATATGTGACCAGTGGGCAGGGCAGATCATAGTTGCAGAAGGTTCTAGTGGACAGCCCAAGATGGAGCAGTGTGTGCTAAGATGGCATGGGAAGGGATAAAGCCATCTGGCATGGGGGAGGCGGCATATACCCTTCCAAAGGGCATTAAGGGTCGGCAGCAGTGTCTTACAGCCTAGATGGGGGAGGAGGCAGACCATACCCACTGAGCACTCACTGTATGCTGGGACAGGGCCAAAGAGAAGAGTGCTCTTTTCTTGCCAATTCCAGCAAACTGGCCCTTGGCTTGTGGTCTGGTTTCTAGTTAGGCTTCTGCCATTCTCGTTAATCACAAAAGCACAGATGAACAAACTGAAGCACTGAGAGAGGAGGGTATTGGCAGAAGATTAGTAACCAAGAATAGACTGGAACCTCATGTTCTGCATCCAGACACCTAGAATTTCCTACCCAGTATTGTCCTACCTTTCAAAGGCACAGCCCATCCCTAGCCTATATACCACCAAAGATGGGGAGCCAGCTGAAATGTGTATCTCTGAAGCTGCCACCCAGTGGTTCTGGGTCAAGAAGTGGGGGGGGGGGACTTGAATGGCAGAAGCCAGGAGAAAGAGCTGGATTTTGGGAGATAGGGGAAGGTGAAGAACTGGGCTAGAAGCTACCTCTCCCCTATTCTGGCCTCTTCCAGACTTATCCAGCACCCCATCCCTGCCCCATCCTCTTGTGCATTCCAAATTTATGTCTCTCCACACATCTGGATGGAGGGGGATGTTTCTACTTCATGGGACTTCCAGCACCCTTGTATGGCCAGAATTCCTCATTTGTCTCCCCTGTAGTCCTGGGTTTTGTTGGTGGGGACTGATATGCAGGAATGAGGAACTCCTCCAGAGGTAATGGAGAGAGGGCCAGAGTGGCCACTGCAGGAAATCTGGAACTGGGGCCCAGTGCTCCCATTCTGTGACCCTGTGTACCCTGAGAGTCTGCCTTAGCCTCCCTTCTAAAACCACATGAATCAGCTGAACCCTAACCAAACCCTCTAAACCCAAGATGTAAGTTTTCTGAGGGTCTTTGCCCTGTTCCCCAAGGTTTGGGTCAAGTGTCCCTCATCCCAGTTGGCTGCAGAGCAAGCCTTCTGCTGGCTCGCCTCACCAGGTTTCTGGTCATGTCTCCCCTCCTCAGGTCCAAGGCCAATGCTGACCTCTCCAGTCCCTTATTAATGCTAGCCTGTACCACTGCAGTGGCCTCCTAACTTTTTCCATTCTTGAACCCTTCAACCTAATCCATATAGCAGCTAAGGAAATCTTTCTGAAATCCAATCAAATCACTTAGAAAAATATCCAAGCTCTGATGTTCAAGGCCTCTAGTATCTGAATACTTCTCATGCCTCTGTTTCTGTTTTATTCACACACACATACTTATGAACATAGTTTGAAAAGCATTTGAAGAAATACTACCTTCTGTTCTGAGAACAGCTGCACAGCATATCCCTGCAAGGGGAGGTCTGCCTGGACCCAGCCTTGAAGAAAACCCACAGTGCTAACTGGGTGATTTCCTTTCCTGTCTTTGTCCAACTCAGTGGGGCTTCTGCAGACACCCTCCCTTCTCTGGCACACACCCCAGCTCCCAAGGAACAACCTGGTTTTTATCTTAAGGCTAGCTAGTCATTTACTTCATAACCAAGGATCTTCCCAGCAGCTTGAGGGAAAGGGAGAGTCCTTTTTTTTTTTCAGTGTACTTTACCATTTTAAGGGAACACAGGGGAAAACAAAGGCTGACCTCTTTTTTTTTTAAATATATATATTGAGATATAACTGACATAACATTATATTAATTTCAGGTGTACAATGTAAGATTCAATATTTCTATGTATTGCAAAATGATCAACATAGTAAGTTCAGTTAACATGTCACCATGCAGGATCCCTGGGTGGCGCAGCGGTTTGGCGCCTGCCTTTGGCCCAGGGTGTGATCCTGGAGACCCGGGATCGAATCCCACGTCGGGCTCCCGGTGCATGGAGCCTGCTTCTCCCTCTGCCTATGTCTCTGCCCCTCTCTCTCTCTGTGACTATCATAAATAAATAAAAATTTAAAAAAAAACAAAAAAAAACATGTCACCATGCATAGTTACCAAAAAAATATTTTTCTTGCAATGAGAACATTCCAGATCTACTCTCCTAGCTACCTTCAGATATGCAGTACAGTTTTATTAACAATAGTCACCATGCTGTACATTACATCCCCATGACTTACTAATTTTATAGCTGGAAATTTGTACCTTTTGACTCCTTTACCCATTAAGGGAGGGGAGAATTCATGACCTTAATTAAGTGGCAAGCCCTGAAGTTGGCTAGGGTTGGGCGAGGAATGGGAAAAGACAGAGAGGAGGTCCCGTCCTTGGGAGTCTCCAGTCTAAAGAACAGGAAGATTGTGCCTCTGTATTCTGTGTCCTTATGCTGTTTTTCCCTCCCAAGCCCCCCTTTTCCTTCCTCAAGGAGTCCAATTGAAAACTTCCTATTACATAATCCTGAGCAGGAGGTGGGCTGGGAGGGTAAGGGGTAGAGGAAGGCACAGAGCAGTCTCACTGGGCACCTACAGCACAGCCTCAAGGGGACAGCAGGGGGTGCTGGCACAGCCCTCCTCTAGAAAAGGGACAGGTTGGGCCACAGTCTGGACCAATGGAAATGTAAGCCTCTGCTCCCCAAACATGGGAGCCCCACTTGGGGTCTCATATGAGACCCCAAAAGTATTTTAATTGAAATTCTATCCTACCACCAAAACTACCATTATAAATTCATTCCTTTTGGGTCTTCAACTCAGCAAAGTGCCTACCATGTGGGTATAAGGCATCACATCTGGGAGTCAAGAGGGCATTTTAGTTTTCCAGGGCCCCCTCTGGCAGGGGTAAATCTGTTAAATGCTTCTTCACCCTGTGGTGGTGGAGGCAGTACTGGGGTAGACAGGTGGAGTTCCAGGTATAGGGACAGGGGAGCCTCTTCAGGTATAGGTGGGGAAACAGGATAATATTTATAGGGTGGGTGGTTATTAGGGAAGGCTTCCAGGAGAACATGCTCTGGAGCTTGGAGGGCCTCAGATTGAAGGGGAAATTGTGGTCTCAGTCCCATATCTCTGGATGAGCTGGCCAGAAGCAAAATGGGGATGATGACAAAGCCTACTTGCCTGCCACGTCCCAATCTCAGTTCCACTCTCTGGCCTCATTCACCTCCTGTCACATGCCCTGGTTCCACCCTGCTGTCAATTCTCCCTGCCAAAAGTGGATGAATACAATTTATGGGGCTCCCCTCACCAAAGTGTTTCAGTGGAAAACTCTGTAAGGCCCAGAGGAATGACTTCAAAGCCATATACATGGTATTCTAAAGCACTTCCCTTGGGCACTTCATCCTCAAAGCACCTCACATATGGATAACTGCCAGGGCCATCTACCTTCTTAAGCCTCAATTTCCCCAGCTATAAAAATGAGCAGCAAAATTAGGTCATTTTCCAGGTCCCTTCCAACTCGGATGTATAAGGTTTTAGCATCTTGAACTTCAACAGCCTCCCATGCTGAGAGCACGAGGCTGGCCAACCCTTGTTAGGAGGCAGCTAGTCTGTGGTTTGGCACCACTGCCCAGCCAGCATTTATTAAATCAGTGGGATGTGGTCCCTGCTGGCCTGGAAAGAGAACATTAAGCTCCAAAAACTTCCTGCAGCAGGCCTCCTTCAGAGAGCACTGCTCAGAGGGTTGAGGAACAAAACTACTCAGGTCCTTGGCAGTGCTCCAAGATCCTGTTCGCTAGTATTTTTGCCCTGTCTGCACAGAGAGCCAGTGACTGAAAACATCTGGAAGCCTGGCTAAAGACCTGGGTGACTGCTCTTTCCTTCAGAGGTGGCTGTTCACAACCTTGGAAATCCAAATTGACCTTTACCAATGCCCCTTCCCATCCAACCTTCTGCACTTCAATGGGCAAGAACCCTTTAATAAAATCTGCATGAATCCATTTGCTAACAGCTTCTGGAAGGGCTGGAGGATCTAACACCCGCCCTGCATTCCTTGAGCCCTAGTAGCAAGGGAAAACAGGGCTGAGACCCAACTCTTGTGCCTCTGGGTCTTACAAGTGGAATTGGAGAGAAAGGGAGAAGGTAGGAAGAGAGAGACATCGATGATGAGAGCTTGCTAAAGGTGAAGGCAGCTGCAGGTGAGGAGTGCAGCACCAGTGGAGTGATGGGGTTGCTGGGTAGCCTAGCAGAGTCCCCCCTGGCCTGGGCGTGCCTCTTGCCAGTGACCTCAGGTCACTATGGCCCATGGTGACTCTGGGAGGCAGGGCTGGGCTGAGAGGTTTGGGTCCATGTGCCACTGACCTGGTGGTCCAGAGCTGCCTGTCCCTCGTCTCCCTCTTATGGCCTGGGCTATGTCGCAAATTCCTTGGGTCTCTATTTTAGGAAGTATCTACCAAGCACCTACCGGTGCCGGTATTGGGGACAGGATACATTAGCGAGCAGAACAAACCCAATTCCTGCACTCTAGTCCCACTCGCTTGTATATCCTGTCTGACTACAGGTCACAAAGTCTCAGGTACACTGGTGGGGGGTGGTGAGAGTGCTTGGAGTTCCAGAGGCAGCAGAGCCACCCTAGCAGTGCCTCGTCTCCCCCATTCCAACTCCTCCCTTAGCTTTTCTGGGGTATAGTGCATGGACACAGGATTCCCTCTGGCTAAGGTCAGAGCTCCATTTTACTCTAGCTTTCTCCCCACCAAGGGCAAGAGTCCAAGAAAGACAACAGGTTAGATGGACAGACAAGCTGCCTGAAGTTTATTTATAAAGTACAAGGACGCACTTACCACGCCTAGACTTTTCTCTTTTTTAAAACTCATTTGTCTTCCTTTTCACTCTGCTGAGACTTTCCTTTCCTCTTAGAATTCTCAGCTGATTTTACTAACCTATCTGCTCTTTGCCATGATGAGCGAAAGACCAACACAACCTTCCCTAGAGCTGATGGTATTCATCTCAGAAGGCCCTCAAGGATCCTACTGAAGTAAATGACTCTCTTCTGGTCAGCTCAGGATGCTGTGGAGCAGAGAAACTGGTGTCCTTCTTGGAGCACTGCCTTCATTTCCTTGAACTGAGCCAACTGGCAGGCCTCATCTAGCCCCAGCCAGCGGTAGGCTTGGTGCTCTTGGGAGAGGCAGATCTCCACATCGTAGTCCTTCACCTCAGCCAGCCAGTAGATGACTATTTTAGGCTTGTTCCTGGCCACATAATTGAGCTCCCTTCTGAACCCCTCAATGATGGTCAGCTGGCCTGCTGCTATGCCTGCTTCCTCCTGAGTTTCCCGCAAGGCCGTTTCCAAGTCATCTTCTCCTGGTTCCACATGGCCTGGTTAGGAAAAAAGAGGAAAAGGAGGAAGAGATAATCTTTAGCAAAGTGGAATTTTCAGGTCCGGTGATTTAAAGATGGGGTCTTTGGTCACTTTTCTAGATGTTGCTGGGCTAAAGGGGCTCTAGGAATGGGGCAGAGAGCAGGTAGTGTCCAGGCAATTCCTCCACCCCACCCCACTTCCTCTGTAGAGAGTTAAACAGACCAAGTGTTTGGCAAGTCTAGTCTAGAAGATAGCTCTTCAGTGATGAGAGAGATGGCCTCCCTCAGACCTCTGCTTTCTTATCCTTTGGTGCTCTCCTCATTCCATGTTCTCAGGGAGACTTTTCCCTTGGAGACCTTAAATCGATTTTCTGAAGGAGGGGCAGTCTTTCTGGCAGATGGGAGCTGGCTGAAGATGGAGCACTTTGCCTACCGTCCACAGCAAGGACTTCACGCTGTCTTAGCTGGTCCCTGAAGTCCCAGGGTCAACAGACGGGCTCCAAGCCCTGCACTGCGGCACCGGCAGCTGTTTCCAAGTAGCTAGCAAGACTTTTCCAAATTGTTTTCATCTTTCTAACTGAGCAAGGCCAGATTCCAGTTTCACAGGGAAATTCCTGATGGGAACTTAGATTCAGGACAAGCTGAGAGCCAGTTCTAAGAAATATTTTTGGCAAGACCCAAACCCAAGCAGACAGCTGCCAAGAAACTGTTGTAGGAGAGCCTGAAGCTCTGCAGACTGGAAGCAGCATTCAGTTTTGCCTCTAGGCCCCCCCTGCAAATTCTAAGCCTGCCCAGAGGGGCCAAGATGGACAGGGAGGGGTCTGGCAGCTTCTGTCAGCACATGGCTGCAGCAAGTTGCTGGGGGCCTCGGGGTTCGGGTGCTCCTGGGGAACAGGAATTGTTAGCTGTTCCCTTCCTGGTTCAGAAACTATCCTAGCCGCCCTCCTTCCCAGGGGTTCTCACAGCAGTGCCCTGAGCCAGCTTGCTGCACAGCTCCCACAGGGAGCAACCAGGAGTCAGGACTTAGAAACCCAGTCTGGTCCATGGCTTCTGGGGAACTTTCTCTGTATAGCACCCATGCAGTCATGTACACAAAGCTGGGTAAGTAAGTACTGCATGGGAGGGGGGCAGTGGTGAGAGGTGTGCTGGTGGTGAGAGAGGGGACACGGATCCCCATGTCCCACCCATTCTTTCTGAACATGCCCTTCCCAACAGCATCTATGCTGCATTCTACCCATCAGTGTTAACAGGGTGATTTCTCCCTAGGTCCCAGCAGAACACAATTTGGAGAGGTCCTTTGAAATCTTTCAGTGAGAGGTACTAAGCAGTATGACTTTGGCAACCAGGAGACAAGTGTGAATATTTCTATTCATAGTATTTGTGACACTTCTGTCCCTTTCTTTCACCTTATTTCTCCTTAGTGAAACACAAATGTGCAAAGTTTATTTCCTATTCCCCTTTCCTTATTTCCTCCCACCCTTGATCCTTGTTTGCCCCTCTCCCATGGCACACCCCTTTAAAGCCCCTGCTCCTTTCTATCTTGGGACCGTTCACTCTGGGCTCCTGACCTATAACCCAGTAATGACTTGACCCCAAGGTTCCCAATTCCCAGCCCAGTGCCTTTTCTCCTACCCATTTACCACAGAGGCTGGTACTTCAGTGAGTGATAGTCACACACACACACACACACACACACACACACACACACACACACACACGCGCTGCTCTGCTCCGGGATTCAATCACGGAGTACTATTTCCAGCTCCAAGCTGGCATGGAGACCACGTATGCAGAAAGGATCAAGGGCTCCTGCCTATCCCACCTCCTTCTGCTGCACAGTCACTGGGACGTAAGCCTTATGGGGGGCCTGGTAAGGTGGCTTTTCAAGCAATGCTCGGCACTTGAGAGCCAGCCCCTCTGCCTCGCACCTTTGGGAGGAGTCCAGTGATGAATGCCATCTGACGCCTGCAGCAGTAGAAACTCAATTGTGGGATTCTCCACCTTGGGAATGAGCCGTCTTCGGAAGATGATCAAGCCACACGCTCTCAGGGCCATGTTCTATCTAAGGATTTAACAAAGAAGATGTGAGACACTGGAAGTTACATGAAACAGGAAAATGCATCCTGGGGGCAGCATCTGGTACTGGGGAGTAGCACAGATCAGCTAACAGTGACCTCATTAACTACAGAAAAAGGCAGCATACCAAGGACCAGTTGGAGAAAGCCAGGAATCAGAGACTGATTTGTGAGTGATGGTAGGACCCTGGCTCCTACCCTGTCAGTGCAGCTCTATCCCAGCTCCTCCAGGTTTCCCTGCTAAGACACAGGGCTGGTATGCGTGTTAAGAGATCAGAGGTCCTCAGAGGCAAACCGTCTGAACCTGGCGAGATGCTGGGACTGGGAGATGAGGAATGTTATCAGCAAACCCATGGTTCCACTTCCCTCAGCCTTCAGCTTGAGTTTGTGGGGCAGAGACTCCAACAATGTGGTTTCTGATGGCCTGAGGGGTCACATAGGGAAGGTAGCTTGGTGTACTAAAAACATTTTTGTTATTGGTATTTTTAGTCTTTTTTTTTTTTTTAAGATTTTACTTATTTATTCATGAGAGACACACAGAGAGAGGCAGAGACATAGGTAGAGGGAGAAGCAGGCTCCCCACAGGGATCCTGATGTGGGACTTGATCCCAGGACCTTGGGATCATGACCTGAGCCAAAGGCAGCTGTTCAACCACTGAGCCACCCAGGCGTCCCTATTTTTAGTCTTTTATCCATGTTTTAGAATGTTACACATTCACATTTTACACATTCACATTGTGAATGTAGAATTTTACACATTCACATTCACATGGTTCAAAATTCAAAGTAAGAAAAAGCGCACAGAGTAGAAAGTCTCTTTCCCACCCAGTGAGCAGCACACTAGCTTAGTGGTCAAAGTTTGAAGCTGCAGCCTGGGTTCGAGTTCTGACTTTGCCACTTATTCACTGTGTGATCAGTTTCCTAAGCCTTAGTTTCCTCTGCTGTAAGACAGGATAATAACAGTTCTACCTCACAGGGTTGTTGGGAGGATTATATGACTTAACTTGTAAAGTGCTTTTGAACAGTGCCTGGCATGTAATAAGTCCTCAGTAGGTTTCAATATGCATTGGAAAATGTCTGGAAGGATACACATCATTAATAGTATTTTCTGGAGGATGACATTATGGCGAGACTTTCATTTTCTAGTTCCTATATTTCTGTATTGTTTAAAAGTTCACAGAGAACATTTATTAATTTTATAATCAGCAATTCGGTCTTTTTTAACCCCCCCCCCCAATTTTTTTTCCCTTTATTTGAAAGAGAGCACAAGCAAGGGGAGCAGCAGACAGAGGGGGAGGGAGACACAGGCTCCTTGCCAAGCAAGGAACCCAATGCAGGGCTTGATCCCAAGACTCCAGGATCATGACCCTAGCTAAAGGTAGACACTTAACCAACTGAGCTACCTAGGCACCCCAATTCAGTCTTAAGTCTTTTTCATTTCAGTTTTTTCTTTCCATTTCAGAAAAGAATGTCAACAACAACAAAAGACAGAAAGGGAGAAGAGTAGGAATATCTGCAGCAGCGAAAAAACAATTCATTATCTGAAGGGGGACACGTCATCAAGGTAATAAAAAAATATGGAAGATCTCTTATGTAAGGCCTCGCTAAAGAAAATGTGTCACTTGTTCAGTCAACAAATATTTACTGATACTATGTAATAAGTACTATGCTAGGCCTTTGCTCTCATGCAGTTCATATTTTAATGGGAGAGGCAGATTTTTAAAAAAGATTTATTTATTTTAGAGAAAGAGAGTGCACATGAGCTGGGGGAGGAGTGCAGGAGAGGGAAAAAATCTAAGCAGACTCCGTGCTGAGCTCACAGCAGGCCATGCGGCTCAATCCCACAACCCCGAGATCATTACCTGAGCTGAAACCAAAAGCTGGACGCTTAACCGACTGCACCACCCTGGTACCCTGGGAGAGGCAGATTTTAATCAATTAAGCAAATTAAAAAATAACTGCCAATAATGTATGTGCTACAAAGGAAAAATGTGTGATAGGTAACCTGACCTTGTCTGAGGGATCAAGAAAGGTTTCCTGGAGGAAGGGATATTTGAGCAGAGAAGTAAGGACGAGTAAAAGGTAAGTTGGCAATGGGAAGGAGGGGAGAAAGCATGTTCCAGGTGGAGAGGACAGCATGGGCAAAGGCCCTGAGGTGGGATGACAGAACTGAAAGAAAATCAGGTGTCTCAAGTGCAGCAAAGGCCTAGGAGAGTGGCCCAGGCAGGAAGAGACCCAAGTCAGTAGGGCCTCATCTGAAAGATTCCAGGGCCAAAGAAGGCGCTGGTGCACATAGACAGGCAGAGCTGATGCAGAGGATGGCTGGAGCAGGAGGTGATGGTTTCCATGGCTCCTTTGCTGTTATTCAAACAAGATGAGCCTGGGGGCACTCCACTGGATCAGTTGGCCTTGAGCGTCTGCCTTCAGCTCAGGTCATGGTCCTGCATCCTGGGATTGAGCCCCATATCGGGCTCCCTGTTTGGCGGGGAGTCTGCCTCTCCCCCTTTCTGCCCCTCTCTCCACTTGTGCGTGTGCGCACTCTTTCTCTCTCAAATAAATAAAATCTTTAAAAAAAAGATGAGCCTGAATCTGTCAAAGGCACAAAAATCAGACCCATATTGAAACTCAATTCAGGGGATCCCTGGGTGGCGCAGTGGTTTGGCGCCTGCCTTTGGCCCAGGGCGCGATCCTGGAGACCCGGGATCGAATCCCACGTCAGGCTTCTGGTGCATGGAGCCTGCTTCTCCCTCTGCCTGTGTCTCTGCCTCTCTCTCTCTCTGTGACTATCATAAATAAATAAAAATTTAAAAAAAAAAAAAAAAAAAAGAAACTCAATTCAGGATAATTCTCACGACTGCCAACAGATGGCTTACCAAAAACCCAAACACACCCAACACTGTGATCTTTCTAAATGTTTCGAAACCTGTAACGAGTTTTTTAAGATTGGAAATAATCTCAAATGTCTTTTTAGTTTTGTTTTGTTTTTAAATATTTTATTTTAGGGGGCACCTGGGTGGTTCAGTGGTTGAGCATCTGCCTTGGCTCAGGTGGTGATCCTGGGGTCCTGGGATCAAGCCCCACATTGGGCTCCCTGCAGGGAGCCTGTTTCTCCCTCTGTCTATGTCTCTGCCTCTCTCTGTGGGTCTCTCATGAATAAATATGATTTTATTTATCTATTCATGACAGACAGAGAGAGAGAGGCAGAGACACAGGCAGAGGGAGAAGCAGGCTCCCTGTAGGGAGCCTGACGTGGGACTTGATCCTGGGTCTCCAGGATCACACCCCCGGCCGAAGGCAGTGTCAAACCGCTGGGCCATCGGGGCTGCCCAAAGATTTTATTATTTTATTTTATTTCATTTTATTTTATTTTATTAATTTTTGACAAAGATTTTATTTTTAAGTAATCTCCATACCCAATGTGGGGCTTAAACTTACAACCACGAGATCAAGGATCACATGCTTCTACCGGCTGAGTTAGCCAGATGCACCGCAACATTTTTTTTTAAGATTTTATTTATTTATTCATGACAGACAGAGGCAGAGACATAGGCAGAGGGAGAAGGCATCCTGCAGAGAGCCTGATGCGGGACTCGATCCCAGGACCCTGGGATCACAACCTGAGCCAAAGGCAGTTGCTCAACCACTGAGCCACCCAGGTGCCCCTCAAATGGGGTTTTTGAAATGGTCTGTGCTCTTGTATACTATTGGTAGGAGAGAAAATTAGCATATCCCCTTAGGAGGGCAATTTGGTAACAATGATCAAAACATAAAACACATATTCCCTTACCCCTAGCAATTCCATTTCTAGGCATCTAACATACAGAAATACATGTTTAAGACATATACACAAGGATGTTCATGACAACCTTGTTTGTAATATCAAAAAAAGGCAGAAACAATATCCATCAATATAGGAATGGTTAAATAAAGTACAGTTTTTCTATATGATGGGGAATGTTATGAAGCCATTTAAAAAATAAGGAAGTGGGGTGCCTGAGTGGCTTAGTCTGTTAAGTAGCTGCCTTTGGCTTAGGTTATGATCCCAGGGGCCAGGATCAAGCCTCGAGTTGGGTTCTCAGCTCAGTGGGGAGCCTGCTTCTCTCTCTACTCCTCCCTCCTGCTCTGCTCTGCGCGCACTCTCTCTCTCTCTCTCTCTCTCTCAAATAAATAAAATCTTAAAAAAATAAGGTAGAGCCAAATGTGCTGCTTTTAAAATATGTTCAGACAAATGAAAAAGGTATGATTCAAAATAAAATGTGTAACAGGATCTTGTTTGTTTAAAAATTCATATGTAAACTGGTAGTAGGCTTTTTTTTTTAAGATTTTATTTATTTGAGAGAGAAAGAGAGAGAGAGAAAGAAAGGAGACAGAGGGAGAAGCAGACTCCCCACTGAGCAGGGAACCCCAGATGGGGCTCGATCCCAGGATCCGAAGATCATGACCTAAGCTGAAGGCAGACGCATAATCAACTGAGCTACCCAGGTACCCTAGTAGCAGGCTTTTAAAAACATTATATTCTATTTCCCTGGTCTCCCGATTTATGCTAAGAACGTTCACCATTCTGGAAACCAAAAAGAAACAGCCTGTCACCACAGAACTGGTGAATAGAGATTTCAAATTATTGGTTTCAGGTTCAGGCAGAAAGAGGTACTTGATCCCATGCCCTCCTATTAGGAAGCTCATAAAATATTAGCAAGTTATAGGTGAAGGACACCTTGCTCCTGTTTTGGGTAGAGTCCCATGGAGTGAATGTTGGAGTTGCTAGATAAGTTTAGGGATCCAAGACTAGAGGCCCTGCCTTGGATAGGAAGCCCCAGAGCATTGCTCTACACCACTGCCATCACCAATACATCATGGGGAAACAACAGCACCTGAATGGGGGGCCAAGAGACAGGCATGGGGTGGCCATGCGGAGCCACTGGAAAGAAGGGAGCAGGCCAATATTTTCCCATGGGGGAGAGGCTTAGGGTAGTGACAAGGGCACACTTAGCAAAAATGTATCTCAGTAGACACGAATGTGTAGGGGTAACCACATCTATGAACCAGACCAACCAATGGTTCATTGCAATGGAACCAAAAGAGCTAGGATCAGACGTTCACTTTCTACCTATACTATAGACCCACGGAGAGGACAGTTATTCTAGAAAGGCAAAACTCCTGCCTACCCTTTCAATTTCTTGGCTTGAGCCAGCTGTTTTCTAGAATTTCTCTCTCCTTCCCTATACACATTACTTCCTCCTCATGCTTTCTTTCTTTTTTTTTTAAGATTCTATTTATTTATTCATGAGAGACAGAGAGAGAGAGAGAGTGAGGCAGAGACACAGGCAGAGGGAGAAGCAGGCTCCATGCAGGGAGCCCGACGTCAGACTCGATCCCTGGTCTCCATGATCACGCCCTGGGCTGAAGGCGGCGCTAAACAGCTGAGCCACCCAGGCTGCCCCCTTCAGGCTTTCAGAAGCAGCTCAGTGTCACCTCTTCTGTGAAGCCTTCTGGCTTCTAATCATTCCACCTTTTGGGCCTTTAGCATGGCTTGAATAAACTTCTGTAGGGTTTGACTGGAGAAGTAAAACACTATGAGACAATTAAGGATTTAGTGTAGGGATTAGAGCTTGTACAATTGTGGAAGCTGATGGAGAAATCCATGCAACTCTGTCACCTCTGCATCTGGTGATGAACTCGAAGTCTCTATAGGTCAGCAAGGCCAGCAGTTGGGAAGGAAAGCTGGATGTGAAGTGGAAAGAGCAAGGAAAACTGGAACCTGTGAAAACAAACCAGATCCTATGAGGACAAGAACCCCTGAGGACAAACTGAAACCTCTGACTTCCTAACTTAGAGGAGAAGCTGGAGCCCTTTGCCATAGAGCTGAAGGTACATCTGGCCCAGCACTCAGAGTATCTGAAGGAGGAGACTGAACAGGAGGTGGGGAGCTGGGGCCCTGGGTGCCTTATCCAGCACCAACAGGGGAACCAGCAAGTCAGTATCAAAAGGTATGCACTGCCACATGCTTGGTATCCCACTGTCCTTCATAGTGTACTGGCTGCTACTTCACTTCAGCTTTCCAGATCTTGCACAAAATTTTCTTTAGGTCGACCCTAACTTGGAACCATATAGAAAGGGAATCCTGGGAAACATAGTTCCAGCCTAGCCAAGTGGACACAGTACAAAGCCACCACAAGCACAATACCTAGTCTGGTAAGTCTCAATCTGTACCTTTGGCAGCAAGAGCCAGACTATGCACTGTCTCCGTGGGACCCAGCACAGCAGCTTTCAACAGATGTTCATTGACTCAACAGAACACTCTCCCCACATCCCACTCAAACAAATGCTCAGGGTATGTTCTGGGATTTTGGGAAATCGCCCAGTGTTTTCCTGAAGAGTGCCATTTACATAAAAGTCAATGGAGCTATTGTTGTATGTTTTCTGTTTTTCTGGAAACCATGGATTGAAACTGTCCTGGGGTTTGAAAGTAGCCAGCTTATACACACACGCGCGCGCACACACACACACACACACACACAGCATGCACGCATGCACTCACACACATGACTCCAAGTGGATTCAAACCTCAGGGGGTTAAAGAACACAGCATCCAATATGCAAATGTGCTTGCAGCCAGGATTGCAGAGATGAGAACTCCAGGCTGACAGCAGGCAATTCACACTTCAGAAAAGTGGCAAAGTGCCTTAGGTGGTTAAAAAAAACCTGAACAAAAAAGTCCTCAATGTCATCAGAAGGTTCCAGAAGCTAAGGAAAAATGCTCTTGCCTTTCTCTATATATACATTTCCCTTACAGCTGAGGAGGTTCAGGACCTAGGTGCCAAAAAAATAATTCACAGATAAACGGCTGTACTGATGTGTTGTGTTCCAATGTTTTCATCAAATTAATCAGAGTGCTATTGCAAGCCTAGCTCAACCTCCCAAAGAATGCCTCATAAATACATCTTTAGATATAGAAAGAGTACCTCAAATCCTTTCCTCATGTCCTTATAATCTAAAATCCCTTTAGCAGAAACTGTTTCATGCCACCATGTTATCAATTAAGCATCTACACTGGGCCAGCTATCCTGTGCAAGGTTCTTCACATGTGTATTTCTAATATTCAAGACAAGTCTTCATGATAAGCACAACAGTCTTCAGTTTTGCATGAGGAAACTAAGATTCAAAAAGGTTAAAATACCTGCCCAAGAGCATAGCTGGTCTGTGAATGGGAAGATTTGAATCTAAGTAAGCCTAACTCCAAAGTGTTTATTTTTTCCCCTTCTATAATTCTGCTTAATGTAAAAGAGCAGAGCTTAAGGCAAAATGGTGCTGAGAGAGGACATGCAAATAATTTATAAAAATTATTTCCAGTTCCCAAATTCCCAGTCTTTGATCTATATGCACATAGAGGATTTTAAAGGTACATAGCTGGAATCTTTTCCACAGGACAGGTGTTAGTTGAGGGAGGTGGAGAGGGTGCATAGATGAAGGTCCTGGTGCTCAGAGATGACCCTGGAGAGGTAAAGTTTAGCCTAAGGCCCCGAAACTTTGCCTATCTGATAAGAGTTTCTATGCGTCCTCTGCATTTTCTCTGGGAAGCAGGAACCTAAAATCACATGTTCAAAACCATACCAGGTAGCCTGGGAGTTCCCATGAACCAAGTGTTGGGAATACTTTTAGTGCTAGCCTTGAACAAGCACACAAACAACTAACTTGGGGTGCTGGTATGCAGGTAAGTTGCCCAGGCCCACTCCACTGGGAGGAGGAAAGCCACCTCCACCTGCCTACAAGCAACTCTGACTGTTCACTGTTTCCTCTCTTCCCATATCATAATGGTCTTTTCTGATTCTTTAACTCCCCTTTACCCTTTCAAAGGACTGAACACAAATGAGGTGCCCATCTCTGAATAAAGCTCTTTCTTGTAACAACAACAACACAAAGAGAAAAAGAAAAAAGCTCCCAACTACTGTGAATAAATTGAGACAAAGAAAATGTTTCCTTACTGCCCCTTTCCCTGGATACCTGCCTGACACTCTCTTCTGACAGAAACCAATTTGCTGAGTCATCTTGCTATCTTTGCCATTTGGCTGAGGACAGAAACAGGAGATTTCACCTGTTATGGCATGAATATTAGCTTCTAGGATGAGGCCAAAGTCAGACAAGGTTGGAACAAAAATCATTCCTTGTGAAGGGGATCTGTTAAGTGGCCTATTAGTGCCATCTGCTGTACAGTTCTAGAAAGTAAACATGGGTAATTCTAATATTAGAGCCTGAAGGGATTTACTTACTCATCTAACATCTGTTGAGTGTGTCCTACTCCACCAGCAGCGTGATAGGATTGAAGAGTGGGTATGAAGCTGAATATTATAAGCCCCAGCTTCCTAAGGGTTCACAGCCTCAGAAAAGTAGAAGGTACTTTGACAAAGTTGACAGTTTGTTTTGTGCAAAATAGAGGTATGTGTAAGATGGAAAGGAAGCAAAGAAGAGAGTGATTTTCTTTGGGTCAAAGGGGCACCCCATAAGGATTCTGAAGGATGGCTAGGAATTCACCAGGCAGAAAGAAAGTGGAGGAAAGGAGCATTCCAGGCAAAAGGAGGAAGGTGGGCAAAAGCTCTCAAGCACAAAATGACATTCCACTAATAAACAGTTTAGTTTATATTCTATAGGCAATGAGGAGCCTTTTAGGCAGGGCTGGTAATTGTATTGACATTTTACAAAGACATTCTGGCAGCACTGAAGGTGGCGAATGGATTAGAAGATTGGAGGCAGGAACCAATTTGTTACAAATCTGTTGCCAACAATCCAGATGACAAATGATAGAGTTAAATTAAGGCAGAGAGGAGGAGAAAGAGGAAGGGATGGATGAATTTGAGAGATATCTCAAAAAGAAAACCAACAGTATTTGTTTCATTGTCCAAGGAAGAGGGGTGGGAGATAGGGAGGGAGAGAAAGGTGAGTGGAGAGGTTGTTCGGTTTGGGTGACAAGAAGTTGGTGGAGTAGGGAGTAGAAGGTAAGCTAATGCTTTGTTTGGGAGAAGATGAATTTGAAGTGCTATTGACTACCCACAAGGTGAATGAACTGAAGGAATTGTGTTCAGTGATCATCATCTCATTCCATCTCTTCATTTTCCAAGGTGAAAATTTCCTTTTGGAGAAAGATCTTGCTCCCACCATAGGTACTTCTGGAAGCCATCTTCCTCCATTTAGGTAAGCCTATCTGTGCATCTGGTATTCAAAGCATTTTATCCTCCTTTAGGCAGAAACAACATGAAAAAGCATGGCTAACTGTACAGTGGGAAACACCTAGGTCCCTAATTCAACAGTTGTATTACTGTAAGCAAAATACTTCTCTAAGCCTCATTTTCTCATCTGTAAAATGAGGGTAACTTCTACATGATTGTTGTAGTGGGTTTTTTAAACATATATTTTTAAATATTTAGTTTATTTATTCAACAGAGAACGCACAAGCAGGGGGAGCGGCTTCAGAAGCAGGCTCCCTAAGGACTGAGGAGCCCAATGCAGGGCTCTATCTCAGGATCCTAGGATCATGACCTGAGCCAAAGGCAGATGTTTAACTAACTGAGCCACCCAGGCGCCCCTGTTTTAGAGTTTAAAATAAAGAATGTATACATAGGACCATATCAGAAGTACTGAATATGTATGAGTCACTTTCATCCGTTATCATAAAAGGTCATCAGGAAGCTTCTGTTATGTTTTAATGGCACGCTCTTAACTTTTATTGATAGTTGAATCAAATGGCTTTTCGTATATTCAGCAAAACTGCTGGTAAGCACACTGCTCAGCACACCATTATATTCCTCACATATAAAGTACAAGATATAAATTCTTTTCAATGAAAGTACTAGGAAGAGTTTTCACTTTTGAAAAATGGTTTCCTTAATTATTTCTCTGACAAGTATTGAGCTAAATTGGGTACTTGCAGTGAGTCCACTGGCCTCGTTAGCTAGTATATTTGTTTGTTTCTATTATGAAGGTAATAGGTACCTTTTTTTTTTTTTTTGAGGAGTTATGGCTTGTCAGGTGTTGTGCCAAGTGCTTTACTTTCCTTATTTCATTTAAACTTCACAACAACCCTGTGAGCCTTTACCAGGGTTTTTCAGATGAGGAAAAAGGAAAGATGTGTCTGGGTAGACTGAAAAGCAGGTCTGCCTGACTCCCATCATTGCTCTTTTTTTTTCTAATTTTTATTTATTTATGATAGGCACACAGTGAGAGAGAGAGAGGCAGAGACACAGGCAGAGAGAGAAGCAGGTTCCATGCACCAGGAGCCCAACGTGGGATTTGATCCCAGGTCCCCAGGATCACGCCCTGGGCCAAAGGCAGGCGCTAAACCGCTGCGCCACCCAGGGATCCCCCCATCATTGCTCTTTTAACGTCAACTCTGTATTTGCGTTTTACATTTGGCTATTTGATTGCATTCGGTTTAAGTTGTCACATATATAAATATTTTTGCTTTTCTTTTCTTTCTTCCTTTCTTTCAGAGATACAATAACAAATACATAGAGCCCAAACCAGGCCAGAATAAGGGAAAAGAAAGTTCTGTGGTTTTTTTTTTGTTTTTTTTTTTTTTTAGAAAGTTCTGTTTTAGGCGGTGGGACTCATGTGATTCTCTTAAGACTTTTTTTTATTTGATTGTGAGTGAAAGAGCGAGCACGAGGCGGGGGAGGGAGAAGGAAGAAGCAGACACCCCGCTGAGCAGGGAGCCTGACAAGGGGCTCCATCTCAGGATCCCAGAATAATGACCTGACCTGAAGGCAGATGTTTAACCCACTAAGCCACCAAGGCAACCTGGTGATATATATATATATATATATATATATTTTTTTTACTATTGCTATAATTGCCAAGATATTATCCATTCAATAAATGAAACAATTAAAACATACAAAATATATTCTGGAAAGCAGAAAGCAGACGGGGCATAAAGAGTAACAGCAAAGTGAAACTGAGGCCAAGGGAGGGGAGGGTATGGCACTCTGGCCGCCGATCCCTAAATCCGGAACTCTAAAATTCCGCCGCCGCACCCCATCACCAAGCGGACCAGCAAGGCTCAGAGCCATAGAACCCTCCCCTCTCCCTGAGCTTAGAGGAAAACTGAAGTTCTCCGAGGGCCTGGCCTGCCCACGCCTCACGTCCACCTGTGACGGTGCAACGACGGAAGCTCATTCAGCTGCATTCCCATCGCTCCAACCCTCAGCTCCTCCGTGGGTGAACTACACCCAGAGGCCCCTCTCTAAGACTACTCACCCAACACCCAGGGCGGCAGGAGGCGGGCCTTGAACCGAAAGGGGGAGTACACTGACCGATTGTTGGGCTGCGCTTAGAGCGACCAACAGAAGAGGGCAAAAGGCCCTTCCACCCGCCTCAAAGAGGCTTTCCTTTCACTTAGAACGTCGCGAGAGCCTCACTCAAGCGATACGATTGGTTGAAAGACGCAGCGTGAGTTAACGCCCACTGTTTCTTCGGGTCCCTGATTGGTCTTCTAGAGAAGAAGGACGCTAACGTCAACGAGTTCCCGCGATGCCCATTGGTGGATCTTTCGGGCCTGCTGGCGCGCGGGCGCCGGCGCGGGCGTTCGAACCCGCGCTTGGTGGTGTTACCATGGGGATACGGCCTGGTCGGCTCCTCAAAAAGCTGGTGAGTTGACAGCACGCCCGCCAACTTTGGGGCTCTCTCTCGTCGGCATCGTCTTCTGCCCTCAGAGTTGACCGAGGGGGAACTTGGAAGCTACCGAGGTGAGAAATGGCGGGTGAGAGCCGGGGAGGAGAGAGGCCTCTGCTCCGCGGGAAAGGGTACGCTGGACGCCTGCCGAGCGCGTGAGGAGGCGGCGGTTGCGAGGAAACCGGGGTTTGGCCTCTCCTGGTTGTTCCAATGCTCAACCTACTCTCCTACCCTTCATCCTCATATCTCTGCCTTTTCTTCAGTGTTCATCTCGAGCGCTGCTCCTCCCATGAAGCCTTCTCTGAGTCTCGAAATCCTCTTGCTTTTGAACCCGTGGCCCTGACTGGAACCTTTGTTAAAGCACTTCTACTCGGCCTTGGGTTATTTGTGTACTTCGGTAAACCTCATTCTCCTCGTTCCTCCCATATAATTTAGAAGTCTTTGAGGCAGAGTAACCATCTTCCATTCCCAGCGTCTTACACATAGCGGAGGAAATTTTCAGGAAATACTTGTTGAGTTGAATTTAATTCACCACAAATAGATGGGATTCCCCTCTATGCACTGCCCTGTTTTCCCTTCCGTTTAGAGGTTATTTTTTATTTTTCTGGGAGTAGAGGGAGGGCACCCTAATCTCATATTCCGAAGGACCCGAGGGGCCTCTGGGTGGCTCAGTGGTTGAGCGTCTACCTTAGGCACAAGTCGTGACCCCGGGGTCCTGGGGTCGAATCCTGCAAGGGGCTCTCTGCAGGGAGCCTGCTTCTCCTTCTGCCTATGTCTCTGCCTCTCTCTGTGTCTCTCATGAATAAATACATACAATCTTAAAAAAAAAAAAAAGATCTGAAAGCCCACGGTTGGCCTTTCCACTGTTTGTGAAAGAGAATTTTTTTTTTTTTTGAATGCTTGCTACAACTCTTCTGGCTTTTACTCTTGTTCTCACAGTGCTTTTATTGAAGTCTTAATGAGTCTTTGCTTAAAACAAACCATTCTGTTGTTGCTGAATGTCAAGAGTATTTCAGTGTCTTAGTGACCCATAGCTATTGTCACATTTTAAGAGTGCTTTGGAAACGGTTTTAAAGCATTATCTCCTTTGTATTCTACTTGGAGTTTCTCTGCTTCAGGTGCATATAACATAACAGCTGCTCTGGTAGCTATCCATTCATCAGCTGTCCATGATAGAATTACATTACCAAGACTGTTGTTTTGTCAATTCATAAGACTATATATTGCCGGGATGCCTGGGTGGCTCAGTCAGTTAAGCGTCTGTCTTTGTTTAGGTCATGATCTCAGGATCGTGGGATCAAGCCCTTCATCAGGCTCCACGCTCAGTTGGGATTCTGCTCCAGGATTTCTTCTCTCACTCTGTCCCTTCCCCTGCCCATGCTCTTATAGTGCTCTCTAAAAATAAGTAAATCTTAAAAAAGAGAGAGAGAGAGACTGTATTGCTAATCTGGATTGTTGATGATTCTTATGTGAAATTCATAGCCCATTGATGATTTTAATAAAAGGATTGAAAAAGTCAGGTATAGCAGCTATGTTTTTATTAACCTTTTACCAAAGTTTAAAGACAGCCATATAGCTAAACTGCAGATCTGGGACTCCTAGGTGGATCTGTGGTTGGTCTGCCTTCGGCTCAGGGCATGATCCCGGAGTTCCGGGATCAAGTCCCACATAGGGCTCCTGCAGGCAGCCTGCTTCTCCCTCTGCCTATGTCTGTGCCTCTCTCTGTGTGTCTCTCATGCATAAATAAATAAATCTTAAAAAAAAATAAACTGCAGATCTGGGACATGTAATGGAAACATGATTGAGAATTCAGGGTTTGTTTGGCTCTGGCTCTGTCTCTACTCACTCACTGTGACTGACTTTGCAAGTCACTTAGCCATTAACCAAAGACCTCACTTTTTCCATCTGGAAAATTAAAATATTGAATTAGATTAGAGTTCCTGTGGCTTTGCTATCAACTTAGTCAAGCAATTGGCTTTTTAAAAATTTCATTATAATTAACAGTGTTATAGTTGTTTCAGGTGTACACTATACTGATTCAACAATTCTCTACATTACTCAGTGCTCATCATAAGTGTACTCTTAATCCCCTTCACTTATTTACCCACTTCCCCTCTGGTAACTAACCATCAGTTTATTCTCTGTAGTTGAGAGACTGTTTTTGGATTTGTCTCTTTTTTTCTTTGTTCATTTGTTTCTTAAATTCCACATTTGGGTGAAATGATATAGTATCTCTCTGACTTATTTTACTTACCGTTTTATCCTTTAGATCCATCCATATTGTTGCAAATGGCAAGATTTCATTCTTTTTTGTGGCTCAGTAATATTCCATTGTATATGTATTCCATCTTCTTTACCTGTTCCTCTGTCAATGAATACTTGTGTGCAGAGCGGGGGGAGAGGCAGGTGGCAGGGGAAGAGGGAGAATCTTAAGCCCCATATCATGACCCTGAATCATGATTTGAGCCAAAATCAAGAGTCGGTTGCCTAATTGTGCCATCCAGGTTCCCCTATTTTTGAATTAGTGTTGTCATATTTGTATGCAGTAGTTTGCATTCCTACCAACAATGCATGAGGGTCCTTTTTCTCTACATTTTCACCAACACTTGTTTCTTGTGTTTTTTATTTTAACCATTCTAACAGAAGTAAGGTGATACTGTGATTTTGATTTGCCTTTGCCTGGTAACTAGTGATATTGAGCATCTTTTCAGCTGTCTTTTGGACATCTATATGACTTCTTTGGAGAAATGCCTGTTTATTTCTTCAAGCAATTTGTTATTGATGTCAGGTAAACATCACACGTTCAGCATTCTAAAGACCGTACAGCTGGAACTGGTAGCCGCCATTTATTGAGCATTTACCGTGTGCAAAGCATTATGTCAAGGACTTTATATAAACATTACATTTTCTTAACATAGTACATCAATGTACTGTCCACATAGCATTTCATTAAAAGCTTTTGGTTTATGTTGCTAATTTAAATCCTTAGCCGTTGGGCAGCCCAGTGGCTCAGCGGTTTAGCACCGCCTTCAGCCCAGGGCCTGACCCTGTAGACCCCGGATTGAGTCCCACATTGGGCTCCCTGCATGGAGCCTGTTTCTTCCTCTGCCTGTGTCTCTACCTCTCTCTCTCTCTGTGTGTCTCTCTCTCTGTGTGTGTGTCTCTCTCTCTATGTGTGTCTCATAAGATTTTAAATAAAATCTTAAAAAAAAAAAATCCTTAGCTGTTGTATGTCTTAATGCAGTGTCCATGGGGCAAACTAGGGCATGATCCTCTCATCTTCCAGTTTAAGAGGAATAGCAGTTTTTTGGGGCTGTCATTTTATTGTTTATAAAGTAAGTTGAACTCTTCTCAATCCCTTATAGATTAATTGATCAATTATTCCACTTTCTTGTGCTGGCTCAGCAAACTCATTAATAGTTTGTGCAGAGTAAATCCCCAACAAATTTTGTTTTTTTGTGTTTTTTTTTTAATTTTTTAAGTTTATTTATTCATGAGAGACACAGAGAGAGAGAGAGACAGACAGACAGACAGACAGAGACACAGGCAGAGGGAGAAGCAGGCTCCATGCAGGGAGCCCAACGTGGGACTCGATCCCGGGTCTCCAGGATCACGCCCTGGGCCGAAGGCAGCACTAAAGTTGAGCCACCCAGGCTGCCCCCCAACAAATTTTGTTAAATGAGCAATAGAGTTTTACTTATACTTTGATGGTTGTCATCATTATATACTTCTCTAGTTATTGTCTCAAAGATTTTGATGTTCATATCCTGGTAAACAAGAAGACTCTTCCATAGGCATAAACTCATAATAATAGGTGCCATGTGTATTGGGAAAACTCCGTTTTCCACCTACTTGTCTTTTCCTGTGTAGGAAAAAACCTCATTTCTTTCCCTCGTGTGTGTCTCCTTTACCACTCATATGGAAAACTTCTGACACTTCTGGTCAAATGTATGAGGACTTTCTCCCCATCAACCAATTATCTGTGACGCCAGCTGGGTGTCCCATAATTTAACTCAATCTAACTCTACCTATTTGGAGATAGTGTCAGATTCCACATGTTAAGGGCTCAGTCTGACAAAACTGCTCCCACCCCACTTCAGATGCCAACTGTAAGTAGGTCTTCAGGTTACCCACAACTTCTGTCAGACTTGGTTACAAATTAGAGGTTCCCGTGACTCACTCCTTAGATTCAATTAATTTGCTAGAGTGGCTCATATTACTGAAGGAAACATTTAAGTTTACCAGTTTATTAAGTTTATGATAAAAGATGTAGATGAACAGCCAGATGAAGAGATACATAGGGCAATATCTGGGAAGGTCTCAAGCATAGAAGCTCCTATGCCCATTGAATTGGGATGCATCACTGTCCTGGTATGAATGTGCTCACCAACATGGAAGTTCTCTGAACCCCACACTTTTGGTATATTTATAGAAACTTTGTCACATAGGCATGATTAGTTGTTCAGTCCATTTACAGCTTCTCTTCCCTCTCTGGAAAATAGGGAGTAGGGCTGAAAATGTCAAGCTTCTGCTTATGGCCTGATCTTTCTGGTGACCAACCCCCACCCAGAGTTGCCTCATGAGAACAAATGATATTCCTAGTGCTCTTACCACTTAGGAATTTGCCAGGGCTTTAGGAATTCTGTGCCAGGAACCAGGGACAGAGACCAATATATACTTCATATTATCTTATGTCATTTTATTGTTGGATGTTTCTCTGTCAGATACTGAATGTAGCATTTTATTTACATTATCCCAATTAATCCTTATAAAAGTAAACATCTTTCCTAAATCACTATCATTTTTTGCCTATTCAACTGCAAAGAGCTTCCTAGATGATACTCCTCCTTCCATTTTTGTCCATCGTCTACAATCCATTTCCCATAGTACTTGCAGAGTGATCTTTAAAGATCATGTCCTTTCCTCGCTTAAAATCTTCCAGGGACTTCCTGTTTCATTTCGGATTAAAATCCAAGGGCACCTGTGTGGCTTAGTCTGTTAAGCATCTGACTCTTGATTTCAGTTCAGATCATGATCTCAGGGTTGTAAGACTGAACTGGGCATCTGGCTCATGCTGGGCATGGAGCCTGCTTAAGATTCTCTTTCTTCCTCTCCCTGTCCCCCACCTCCTTCTCTTAAAAATAAATAAGGGTGCCTGGGTGGCACAGTCAGGTAAGTGTGGACTTTTCTTTTCTTTTTTAGATTGTATGTATTTATTTGAGAGCGTGCTGGAGTGGAGAGAGGGGCAAATAGGGAGAAAGGGAGGGAGAGGGAAAGGGAGAGAACTCAAGCAGACTCTACATGAGTCTAGAGGCTGATATGGGGCTTTACTCATAACCCTAAAGTTCATGACCTGAGCCCACACCAAGAGTCCTATGCTTAATTGACTGAACCACTAGGCACCCCTAGCTTCTAAGTGTCCACACTCTTGATTGCAACTCAGGTGATGATCTGAGTCGTGAGATCAACCCTGTGTGGGGCTCTGCACTCAGCGCAAGTCTACTTGTCCTTTTTCCTCCCCTTAATGTGTGCACAAGTGCTCTCTCTTGAGAGAAATAAAATATTTTAAAAATTAATTGGTTAATTTTTTTAAAGATTTTATTTATTTATTCATGAGAGACACAAAGAGAGAGGCAGAGACATAGGCAGAGGGAGAAGCAGGCTCCCTGAGAGGAGCCTGTTGTGGGACTCGATCCCAGGACCCGGGGATCATGCCCTGAGCCAAAGGCAGACACTCAGCCACTGAGCCACCCAGGTGTCCCAATTAATTGGTTACTTAAAATCCAGATACCTTTACTTGGCCCAGTACCCTCATAAATGACCCCTCCTTTCTGTCATCATCTACTACTCTTCCTCTCACCAGCTGTGCTAGAGCCAAACTGGTCTTGTCTTGAATGCTTGCTTGATAATGCCATGCTCATTTCCACCTTAGGGCCAGTGTACTTGCCTGGAATGCATTTCCTCCTAACTTTTTTTTTTTGGGGGGGTGGGGGGGATGAGACAGTTTAATAGAGAAATAAGCTTTGGACAGCCTCCTGATCAGAAGGGAGCCTTTCTTGGAGGTGAAAGGCCATTATGGAGGCTAAGGCCGCCAAGTAGGGAGGGAACAGCATGGGAAATGGTACCAGGAGTGCCTGTGCTCAGCAGGTACTGGCAGAGCCTGGAGTGATGAGTGGAGTGGCTTTCTCAAGTAAGGGGCTGTGCTTCTGATTGTATTTGCATTTGCATTTTCCACCATAGTAGAAGGGACTATCTTTATCAACCAAGTCATTGGCTTCCAAGGCAGGCAGGCCTGCCAGTGTGAGGAGCAGGCCCTGGGTCATTCTCTTCATGGTACGGCTGCAGAGGGGGGCTGAGAGCAGAGCGCAGATCTGGAAAGGCTGCTGGGGCATGAATTTGTACATGAATAATTCTTTCATATTATTTCATATTTCATCTCAATGTTCCCTTCTGAATGAGGTCTTCTCTGATCATCCAATGTGAAATAAACCGTTCATCCTGCTTTATTTTTCATAGTACTTATCACTATCTAAAATTATCTTATTTGATATTATCTCCTCCTACTAGAATAATAGACTTTGTGGGCAGTGACTTTATCTCTTTTCTTCACTACTGTATCTTGTATGTCTAGAACAGGGCCTAGTTCCTAAAAGGCCCTCAAAAATTATTTCTTGAATGACTGGATGAAAGGTTCTTCCTGGAACTGTGGCCATAGCTTGTGTCCATAGCAATTCATTTGAGTAATACAATCTTGTTTCATTTTATTGCCAAGGGAGCAGTGAGTCAGGGCACCAACTCTGCTACAGTTTTCCTGAGCAATCAAATTAACCTGATACAGCTTCTACCTCCTATAACTACAAATGGTATCAAATGCTTTTGTATAGTTTTAAAAATAGTGTATGGTTATTTATTCATTAAATAATTATTGAATGTTACTTATTTCCAGACACTGTTTTAGAAACTGGGAATAAGATGAATAAGACACATTCCTTTACCGCAAGGAAATCATCTTCTAATGGAAGAAATAGACCTCCTTATATAGATAATTATCATAGCATGTAACTGCAATGATAGAGATATGCAAAAGATATGAAATGAACACATAAAGGACTTCCAACCACATATGGGAAGATCAAAAAAGACTTCATTTATGTTTTAATCATTGCTAAGAAGTAGGCAGGTAAAATGAGGTTTGATGAGAGTGGGAGGGGGCTATTTAAAAGCACAATATGGGGGCAACCTGGGTGGCTCAGCGGTTTAGAGCCGCCTTCAGCCCAGGGCGTGATCCTGGAGACCCGGGATCGAGTCCCATGTCAGGCTCCCGGCATGGAGCCTGTTTCTCCCTCTGCCTGTGTCTCTGCCTTTCTCTCTCTCTCTCTCTATCTCTCTCTCTCTCTGTGTGTGTGTGTGTGTGTGTCTCATAAATAAATGAATAGAATCTTAAATAAATAAATAAATGCACAATATGAATAAATGCACAGAAAACAGTCTAAGAAGTTGACTAAACTGGAAAGAGGAAAGGGCTAGACTATAGGTGGCTTTGTAGGATGTGCTAAGGAGCTTGGACTTTGTCCTTTAGATGGGTGACTAGTTGACACTGAAGGGTTTTAGGTAAAAGGAAGCAGCATGGTCAAAACTGCTTTCTAAAAAATGGTCAGCTCTGTACTGTGGAATATGGTTTGGAGGGGGCAAGACGGAGACGGGCAGAGCAGTTGAGAGATATGTAATTATGTAGGTGAAAGATACTGGGACTGAACCACCAAGGCTGTAGTGGTTGGAATGGGGCTAGAGAGGGGAAATTTGACAAATATTTATGTTATCAAATTGACTGGACCTGCCTGTTGATTGGATTTGGGACTGAAGGAGAGGAAAGGAGTCTAGGATGCTTCCCAGTTTAGCTCTGAGTCACTGGTGGATGATATTGTTACTCACCCACTCCCACGCCCCTACCAAGGAAAAGAAAGGTATTCACGAGAGACACAGAGAGAACGCAGAGACATAGGCAGAGGGAAAAGAAGGCTCCTCGCAGGGAGCCTGATGTGGAACTCGATTCTGGAACTCTGGGATCACGCCCTGAGCTCAAGGCAGATGCTCAACAGCTCAGCCACCCAGGCGTCGCATATTCTTTGAATTTTTCTTTGCTTTCAGCATCATTCCTTTAGAAATAATTCTGGTGCCATTGTGGCAACAGTTCCCAAAAGGATGTAACTTTGAGTAAAAGAATCTATATTAGTAATTTATAAAAACTGATTATAATAGGGTAGCCTGTGACTCAGTTGGTGGAGCATGTGACTCTTGATCTCAGGGTTGTAAGTTCAAGCCCCATGTTCAGTGTAAAGATTACTTAAAATCTTTTTAAAAGATTTATTCATTACAAAGAGAGCTTGCACATATGCATGAGTACAGGGGAGGGGCAGAGGGAGAGGGAAAGAGAATCCTCAGACTCCCTGATGAGCTTGGAGCCCGACTTGGGGCTCCAGCCCAGGACCCCAAGATCATGACCCGAGCAGAAATCAAGAGTCAGCTGCATAACTGACTGAGCTGCCCAGGTGCCCTAAAAATAACATCTTAAAAAAAAACTGATTACAATATTTTTCCAATGAAACACATGAAGATATATTTTGTTGAAAGTACTTTATAACTGCAAAATGGCAAAAATCTGCAAGTGACAATGTACAATTGGATTAGACCAGGATTTTAAACTTAAAGCACTGAATTAAAACCCAGCATTGGTTACCATCTATTCCTGGAAATTCTTAAAAAATTAAGCCTCTGTATTTAGAGAGAGTAATACTTGTACTCTTTTAAGATAACTAGGTTCAACAATTTTGTTATGTTTATTTTTAGGTGATTGCTTCTATGCTTTTTACCAAACGTAGAAACTTAAGCTCATAGTGGGGCTTTTGAAAGGAATCATAGTAATTAATTGCAAAGTATTAGCTACTTAACCATAAACTTGAAACTTTTCTTTTTCCACTAAAAAAAGAATCTCTCAAAAACTGCTTTTGGGTGTAACTCACATAGTTGGCATCCCAAAATCTACATCTAGCTTTAAGAATTCCATTAAGTGTCATATATTCTCATTCTTTTGCAGCTGTTGTTTTGAGCAGTTGTTTAGTGTCACTTGTCTTCAGTTGAGATCACTGGTCTATAGATAGAATAATCCCTAGAGTTTGAAATAACTCCCTTGTTGGGGGGAAAATATACCGTAGCATCCACCTTTTAATTTTTCAATGATAATACTGAATTTCTTATGTTATTATTAGGGACCTTACACCTAACATGGGTTACAGAACCATTTTAATGAATATTAATTGAGAATTTTGGGTTTGTATTGTATATATTTCTAATGGTACAGGGGACCCAGTGACTTTGTTAGCAATTCCTAAAAGATAATTACTCTTAGTGTGTCCTAGAGCTGAGTGGGTTGGGGGTTTAGGATGTGAACATACACTAAAAGCCATTGAATTCACTTTAAGTGGCTGAATTGTATGCTATGTAAATCAGATCTCAGTAAAGTTGTTTTATATATTTTAAAAAGTGGTCATTGTCACAATTTAGGGGAACTCAGATGAAGAAATATTTCTTGGCAATCAAGCTACTTTAGTTGGGGCTCTGAGGTGGATGAGTTAGTTGGGCATCTAACTCTTGATTTCACCTCAGGTCTTGATCTCAGAGTCCTGAGTTCAAATCCCATTTTGAGCTCCACGGAAGAAGAGGAGAGAAGAAGCTATTAAAAAGAAGAAGGAGAGAAGCTATTTTAGTCTTTATTTTCATACTACTAAATAATAGAGTGTAATATGCTTTTAATGCCTGGTAACCTTCCTATGTAGTCTCTTACTTTTAGGAATAGCATATTCATTTAACACATATATAATTAAATATGTAGAGTGGAAAATAGGAAAATATTTGAAGAGGCCATAGAGGTTTAGCCTGCCAGTGCTATGTGTTCTTGAGCAAGTCACTTAATCATTCAGAGCTTTAGTTACCACATGCAATGAAAGTGTTGGACCACATCCTGGTTCTCAAACTCAAATGCCCATGGAGCTAACCAATTAATGTAAATGAATAAAATTGGTTGGTTCGTCGGCATAAAGGAACCAGGAGCAGAGAGACCATGGTGTATAGGATAGTATATGCTCCTTTAAGGAGAACAGCCACAACTCAGTTTTCATCTGTTGACTTATCTTATTGTAGGCCCAATGTAACTATCTTTTAATTTTCAAGAAAAATGGAAACTGGATTATTTTTAATTGCTCTTGATTTTTAAATAGTGCAACTAATTCTAAAAAGAATTTAAACATTGTGTAAGCCAAACTGCAAGGTATGAAGGAATCCTTCATGGGCTAAATATTCTAGATTAGATAGCTATGGACTAGATGATTTCTATTGATCCTGGCTAGCTGTAGAATGCCTTTCTGTTTGTTTGTTTGTTTTTTAATCTTATAGAAATACAATGTGGTGCTTACCAAAGAATATGTGTGAAACATATATGTAGGTTATAAAGCACAATACAAAATGAATAAATATCTAAGACCTAGCACATGATCTCCCTATGCTCCCCTGTTCCACGTTTCCCTACTCTCCCCTCAGAGGTAACCACTATTCTATATTTTGTGTTTAGATGCCTAAATAATACATTAGATTGCTTGCTTTTGAGCCTTATAAACAACAACAAAGTTTTCTAGGATTTATTTCTCTCATGATGTTTCTGAGATTTGATAAATTACTGAGTGTAGCTATAGTTCTTTTTCATCACTGTTGTATAATATTCCATTATATGTATATTTCCAAATTTATTCTCTAGCCAATAGATATCCAGGTTATTTTCAGCTTTTGGCTCTTATGAAGAGTGCAACTATGAACATATTTGTATATGCCTCCTGAAGCATGTGCAAACATTTTGTGGGGTATATACATAGGAGTCGAGTTGTTTAGTTGTATGATATATGAAGACTCAAATTCGTAGGATAATGCCAAACTTTTTCAGTATTATTGACTTAGCCCCATGAGTCTTGATTCTGAAAGTTCTCCATAGCTCTGCCTTCTCTAATTTATTTTGTCCTCTCTTTCTATACTTCTCTTCCCTTGGTGAAGATAACTGCTTCACGGCCCTTTTATTTTCTTTTTCACAAAAACCATATGTTCCCTGTCATTTCATTAAGAACTTTTTCTCTAATAGAATACAGTCATATTTAGAAGTAGATATTAGCCTTTCACATTTCATAAATGTAACTTGCTAAAGAAGCCTTTTAAAAAGCTTTTCCAGGGACGCCTGGGTGGCTCAGCAGTTGAGCATCTGCCTTTGGCTCAGGGCGTGATCCCGGATTCCTGGGATCGAGCGCCGCATTGGGCTCCTTGTATGGAGCCTGCTTCTCCTTCCT